TGAAGGAAGGACTTTGAAGGTAGAAGAAACAGTGTACCTAAGGACCCTAGGTTTGGAAAATATACACTGACCAGGTGATACAAAGTAGGCATTCAAAACCAGTACAGACCAGCCTGGCCTCCAGACTCCTCTCATCTCAGCTGAGGAAGGCTTCGCACTGGGCAGATATCCCAGTGGAGTACACAGGATGTCCCCCAGGGGCCTGGAAATTCCCTAGACTGGGGCTTCATTTTCAGAGATCTAAGAGCTGTTGAACTAAGGGAAAGGCAGTGAACCCCACTCTAAATACTAACCCCAAAGTATTTTGACTGTGTGGACAGCACAGCCTCAGTTTATAGTTTATGTGCAATCCGCATTTCTTTATTTTTTAACTTATTTATTTTCAGATAAAGCTGGAGGGAGAGAGGGAGGAAGAGAGAGAGAGAGAAACATCGATGTGAGAGAGACACATCGAGTGGCTGCCAACCACACGACCCCAACCAGGGCCAGGGACAAACTGCAACCAAGGTACGTGCCCTTAGCAGGAACCAAACCCTGGGCTCTCTGGTCCACGGGCCAATGTTCTAACTGCTGAGCCAAAATGGCCAGGGCAGCAATCCACATTTAAAAACTCAGGCCCTGGCCAGGTAGCTCAGTTGATTAGAGCATCATCCCGATACACCAAGGTTGTTGTTTCTACCCCCAGCCAGGGTACACAGGACAAGAATCAACCAATGAATTCATAAATAAGTGGAACAACAAATGGACGTTTCTCTTTCTCTTTCTCTCTCTCTCAAAAAAAAAAAAAATTCAAACTCATATTTACATAAAGTCATCTCAGTCTTCAGATTCATTCTTTCAGATATGAAAGAAAATATTCAGTCCCTCAGTGGTAGCCCATAGGGATGGACAAGTTTACACTAAGCCAGAGGTGGTCTCCTAAAGTCAAAGCACAGGGTTTGCCTCCTTACAAGGGTCATTGGCCTCCAAGTGGCCTTCACTTTCCTGAGCTCTCTGGACTGTGGGCTTGTCAAAATCAGTTACATTTAGGTTATCCAGGAGATCTGGGTCCCAGGAAAAATGGGCTGTCACTAGTCACATAAAACTGACTTGTAACAGAGTTCATTTCCTAATTTTCCATGTGAAAGAGCTCTGCTGCTGGGGAGAACGAGGCTTCTGGGAAATTGAAAGCAGTCAGTTGCCACTGAAGAAAGGACTACCTGGACAAGGCCCCTTTCTCCCCCAGACCAGGCCAGAAACACAGCCCCCGAAATTTCTCAGTGCCACACTTTCAGTATTCCACGTTGCCCTCTGCTGGAAGACAGCACGGACAGCAGAAGAACATGGGCCATGGTTCAGATAAATGTGTTTGAATTCTGGTTCTGCCATTACTGACCCTGGGCCTCGTGCAGTTCATCTCGCCAAAGCCTTCATTTCCTCATCTGCAAAGCAGATATGCTTCATAAGACTGTTGTGAGAATTAGTCAATTATGTGGGGAAAATGCAAGCCGCCTGTCTCATAGCAGGCACCTGATAAAAGACAGTTGTTGTTTTTCCTTTTGTTTACAGCAACATTTGTGGTTAAGGAGCACAGGATTTAAATCCAGAAGAGCTCAGTTTAACTTCCAGTTCTGCCACTTAACATTCTCCGAAAAAAAGATACACAGTTTACCACCTACTTTGCTTCAGGTACTGTGCTGGTTCTTTTATACTTAATTTTTCTTTCATCTGTGGATATAACCTAGAAATATAGGGTGTCCCAAAAAATGTATACACAGTTTGAATGATTATCAAGTCAGTGTTTATTAACATACAGCTCATTTTCAAAATTTAAAAGAACCTACAGAAATGAATACTTTGCCCTTGCCAGTGTGGCTAAGTGGTTAGAGCGTCAGCCCGTGCCCTGGATGGTTGCTGGTTGGATCCAGTCAAGGGTAGGTACCTGGGTTGTAGGTCCCATCCCCAGCTGTGGTCGGGGTGCTGTGGCAGGCAACCAATCAATGTCTCTTCAACATGGATGTCTCTCTGTCTCTCTCTCTGTCTCCCCTTCCCTTCCTCCCTTCCACTCTCTCTAAGAATCAATGAAAAAAATATCCTCGGGTGAGAATTAACAAAGAAATAAAAAAGAATACTTTTTTTGTCAACTGTTTTCAAACTGATGTCTGTTCTGGTCCAGGCACTGCTGATAACTTGAAGCAATGGGATTGCAAACATCAAGAATCATTTCTTTCAATATTTGTGCATATTCTTTCAATAGCTGCCCTCAATTCATCGACTGCTTTACCATAAGCTTTATCTTTTATGTATCCCCATAAAAAGTCTAGTGGGTAAATTTTCCTTGTTCAAAGCTTAATCTGACTTTGCCTATTATTTCAAATCAGTTAAACCTTAAAAGGAATGAGAATTAAGTGAATTACCAGCTGTTAAAGTGTATATACATTTTGGGGGGATACTCTGCAGGTATTATTACTCCTATTATAAGAAAATTGAGCTCAGGGAGATTCAGTAATTTATCAAGGTTGTACAGTTGGCAGGAAATTGGACTGAGATTTCAACACAATATGTCTGAATCCAGTTCCTTACTTCAAAAATCATCAATAACCAGGCTGCTTGGGAGAAGCAGGGGAAGAGGATGAAGGGGAGGGAGTAAAGGTGGTTGAAGTTTGGGTAAAGTGACCCATTCATTAGGGTTCTACTTTCAATTCCCAACAGTTTCCCCAGCTTTATTAGAGGCTATAGTTGGAACACACGATGGTGATAGCTGTTACCCAGCCCTCCTTTAGTTAGAATGATCCAAGTTTTAAAATTAGCAGTCATCTAGCCCTGGTCATTTAGCTCAGTTGGTTAGGGCATCATCCCTATACACCAAGGCTGTGGGGTCAATCCCTGGTCAGAGCACATATAAGAATCAACAATGATCTTTGGGTAAGGATTTAAAAAAATAAAACTAAAAATCCCTGGCCAATTTGGCTCAGCTGTTAGAGCAACGGGCAGTGGACCAGAGTCATGGGTTTGATTCTGGTCAAGGGCACATACCTCGGTTGCCATTCGATTCCCGGCCCTGGTTGGGGTCATGCGGGAGACAACCAATCGATGAGTCTCTTACATTGATGTTTCTCTCTCTCACTCACTCCCACTCTATCTGAAAATCAATGGAAAAGTATCATCAGGTGAGGAAAGAAAGGAAGGGAGGGAGAAAGGAAGAAAGAAAAGAATCGGCCCGGCCGATGAGGCTCAGTGCTTGAGCATTGACCCATGTACCAAGAGGTCACCAGTTTGATTCCCAGTCAGGACACATGCCCAGGTTGTGGTCCCAATCCCCAGTGGGGGGCATGCAGGATGTTCTCTCTCATCAATATTTCTATCTCTCTTCCTCTCCTTTCCTCTCTCTAAAATCAATAGAGAAAAAAAAAAATTAAAAAGAAAAAATTAACCAATGAATGCATGGATGGGTGGAGCAACAAATCAATGTTTCTCTCTATATCTCTCTAAACAACAACAACAACAACAAAAAACAAATTAAAATTAGCAGCCATGTAGAACTTGGGGGATGGGGCTCTTATGAAGAATCAATGTTGCCTGTTCAACTCTATAGTATAGAAGCTTTGCTTGACTTCAATTTATAGCTGGAGACTTACTCTCCACTTGAATCAGCCCAGGTCAGCCCAGGCTCTCCATCCCTAGAAATAATCTGTAGAGGCAGGCCCTGACCCTCAAGTCCGGAGGAGACAGGAGCACACTCAGATTAAGTAGGCTTCGGGGTTAATCAGACATGGTTCAGACATCTATTAGTTACATGATCATGAGCAAATTTAACATCTGTCTCTGCTTCCTCATCTATAAAATGGGGGATAGTAGCACCTGTGAGGAGTAAGCAATATAATGGGTGTAAATTACAGCTCAACATGGTGCTGTCACATTCCACAAGAGTTAGTGAAACAACCCTGTTTTAGCAGCTTCTCAGGATAAGGACAAGAGCCTTAGGGTTCTGGGTAACAGATGGGGTCTTACAACATCAACAGTATGACGTATGGATGTTTATTCCCCAGATCAGAGGTACCTAACAGGAGAGAGAGGGGAAAAGCAGAAAGCCCCTACAGTTGTCAATGTGCCTTCCTGCCACTTTCTCCTCCATCTCTTCTTCTCAGTGCTTCTCCTCTGATTTGTGTGGTAACAGTTAAACAAGTAAGGTTCAGTCTCATCACCCTACTGACATAACTGCACTGCCTGATATTCTGGGACCAGAGCCCAAGGAAAATTTATTTTTCTCTGGCTGTGTCTAATCTCAATTCTTTCTCCCTTGCTAAGAGTATCTAGCACAGGCAAACCAGTCAAATAACTGAAAAGCTTATTTGGGGGGAAGGGGTGGGGAGAGAAGGAATGTGTGTGTCTTTAAGGGTAGGAAGGGACCAAGTCTGTTCATTTCAGTTAGGGGCATTCACAGCCTTATGTATATGGACACTTAAAATTATTAATCAGAAACTGACTTACTTCTTTGCCTATTTGGTATCTTCACAAAAGACAAAAACACAGGAATCATTAGTCCCAGGAAAGCAACTGTGATTAGAAACATTCTGTTCAAAACCACCAAGAAATAATAATAATACAGTATGGCCTACATTTAAGGAGATCAGGTAAGAAAATTAAGAGATGATGATGATTTAGTTTGATATCCTGAGAAACTTTTCCAGGGCACCATGAATCTTGATTTATAGCATAATAAAGCATTCATATATTACTTCTAAAGTTTAAAGCAGTAACTATGGAAGTTCCAAGCCCATTCACTACACCCGAGACATCTTTTATTTTTTTTATTTTTTTTAATCCTCAGCTGAGGACATTTTTTCATTTTTTATTCAGATACAGTGGGAGTGAGAGAGAGGAAGACAGAGAGAGAGAGAAACATCGATGTGAAAGGGACACATCGAGTGGCTGCCACCCGCACGACCCAACCAGGGCCAGGACAAAATGCAACCGAGGTACATGCCCTTAGCGGGAACCGAACCCAGGTCTTTCTGGACTGCAGGCCGATTCTCTAACCGCTGAGCCAAACCAGCCAGGGACCCAGGAGATATCTTTTTCCAATGTAGCTGCCTACACACGAACACATACACACATAATTCCAGGCTAAAAAAAAATTAGTGTTGTAATTGAGATTGTTAAAGCAGCGATATCCATCCTTAGATTCAAGCTTATGGATTAATATAATGAAATATTTCCATCCTTTTCATTTACCATTTACATTTACTCTATCCATGTCCAGATAAATATATACTATTAAGGAAGCACACAGGTCATTGTTCAGGTTTAATGATCCCATGGTTTATGTTACTAACATTTGAACACTTCTGTTCCATGACGTCCACACAGTTTGCAGTTTGTAGATAGCCCAGTTCCCCCAGCCTCCCAATCAGAATATTTAATCAGTCTTCTGCACCTCAAACCCTCACAAAATAGAGCTCTATGATGAAATAACAAAGATACAGATTAGTCCGGTGAGTGGCAAAGCACTGGGCTTTAGGGTCCAAAGATCTCTATAACCAGCAAGAGCAGACAAGGGCAAGGGACAAACGGGAACTGATACTGTTTGAACCCAACGACTGTTCTGAGTCCCTGCTTTCCAGACTGCCTGAAAAATGAGCCTCCTTTCCATAAGTGCAGAATGAATTTACTTATGCAACACTAAATGTAAGAAACCCCACAGGAGAAAAAGTCATAGTAACACATGTGGGAAGATCAGGACTGTGGACTGAAATTCTATTACCTGCCTCAGGGAATGGGCAAATACCCTGGTGATAGTAACCCACGCACACCTTGCTAGTAGAGACCTGGGGATTTAGCCCAAATGCTATCCACAGAGCAGCAAGTACCCCGGCTGAACTTCCACCACTTTCCTGTGAGGGTCTAAAATCCTCTACAGCAAATCTCCCTCTTCCTATAAATCTCTGGGCTAATTCCTTGCATCTGGGCAGGAACAGAGCTTCCCAATAAGTCTCCTCTCTGTAAGAAGCCACGCTTTTTTTTTTTTTCTTAATGGAAGTTCAACAGTGAAGAAAAGATAGCAGTCATTCACTCACAATCTCAAGCCAACCTCAGGCAGGCTGGTAAGACAGGAACAACAGTGAAATGTCTATTATAACCCTATCCAGGCCAAAAGCAGGTCATTCAGGAAATCCCTAAGATCAAATTGGTGCTCAGGGTTTTCTCTAGCGTGCTCAAAAGTGGTGTTTTTTATCCAGATTGACTGAGTCATCCCCAGCCCTAACTAGACCAAGCTTCCCAGATCCAGTTTGAACTCACTCTTCCTTGGCCCTTTGGACTAGTGGACATCCTGTCACTATTTCAAACATCCTGGTCCCTCTGCAGCCTGGATTTATATCCCCAGATAATTGGGCAGCAGTGGGCTAGACTCAAATTTGATGGTGTTCCTTGTGCATGTTTAGAAATTACCCCCTCTGGAGTCACATTTACTCCTAGCTCTGTGCTAGGAGCATAACAGTAAAACAAAAAAGTCTTATTATTAATTAGTTTCCCACCACTTTCCCAACTTTTACACCTCAATACTAACCTCTCCCCTTTTCCCCCTCACACACACCGCCAGAAGATGCTGTCCCAACACTTCCAACATCTCTATGGCCCAAGGATAGAGCAGCATTAATGGCTTTTGGAAGAAAATCCAACCCTACTTTGAAAACTCCTCCCAGTTCAATACAGTGAAGAAAAAAATGGTAAGGTAAGAGAATAGGCCATAGAAACCAGAGCCTGTCTCCTCCCACAAAAGAGGCACGGAAATTTCAGGAGTTAGGGAAAATGACATCATCTCTTGCCAGAAGGCCACCAGCTACCACTGTGTGGGAGCTGCTTTATCACTTGTTTCTCCTCTGGACTGAAATGCAAGATAGTCAGGATGGCTGTGAGCGTCTGCTGGCGGCCCAGGCTGTCGGGCAAGGTCAAGAAGCGGTAGATGATGTTTTTGAGGTACTCCAGATTGGCACCCTCCCTACTCTGGTCCCTGGTGTTCTTCTCAATGTGGCTCTGCAGGACGCCAACCTCCTCTCGGTGCCGCTCCCCCTCCTCCAGCAGCCGCTCCTGCAGCTGATGCACCTCCACCTCCAACCTGTGTTTCTGCTTCCTCAGCAATGTGATGTCTACCTCTTTGCGGGCCAACTGCTCAGCGTACAGGAAAAAAGTGGGTTCATTGGCCGCAGCAAGTTGAAGTGCTTGGGTCAGATTATCTTGGGAAACTATGTCAGTCGGGTCCCCAGGACCCCCACCACCCACAGGGCTTCTGCGTCCTGGCAGCACAGAAGACCAGGTCACAGACCGCAGCTGCTCCAGCTCCAAGTCCTTCTCAGCCAGCACAGCCAGGGCACGGTCCCGCTGCTTGTGCAGCTCCTCCTCCAGTTTCAGAGTGCGGTCCCTGAAGTCCAGCTGGCTCCGCTCCAGCTCCTGCCGGTGGTGATGCTGCAACCGGGCCAGCTCCTGCTTCCAGTCCTCAGCCTCCTGCTGGTGCTGGCGCTCGAGCTCGTCACAGGACAGCCGCAGGGAGATATACTTCTCCTTCAGCTCTGCAAGCTGTTCCTGGGTTTCCTCCAGCTCTTTGGCCAGGTTACCATCTTTGTTGTTCTTGCTCTTGAGGACAACCTGGGCCCTCATCTTGTACCTCTCAAACTCTTCCTTCAGCTGTTTTAGCTCCTGTTGGTAGTAGAGCGCAGTAGCCTTCTCCCCATCAGCAGCCTCAGAGCTGGACATTATTTCCAGGTCACAGAGCTTCTCTACATCCAAAGCCACCTGGCTTTTCCTGGCTGCCACCTGCAGTAACCGTTTCAGCTTCTCCATCTTGTCCTTCAGGACATTGACATCCAGACTGGACTCTTCTGCATGGCTGTCTAAGGGGGACCGGCTGGAGACCGCAAGAGCCAGCGTCTTGTTCTCCAGGTCCAGCTGCAGAATGCGCTCTTTCAGCTTCTGGATGGCCAGCTGGTCCTTCTGCTTGGCTTTCTCATAGGTGCCCAGCAATTCCGACACTTCAGATATTTGGTTCTCCAGGGCTGCCACCCTCTGCTCTTCCAGCTGAGATTGCTGGCGCAGCTGATCCTCTGCAAGAGCTGTCTGTAAAACAAGGGAACAAATAGAAATGCATCTAGAAAAGCCACAAAGCCCTATGGCAAACTTTGAGAAAGAGAGAGAGGGGAGCAAGAGAATGGAAAGTGGCCTGGCAGGAATGGGAACTGGGGATTTTTCTATTAATTTGGGAACTAACAAAAGTTCCTGTAACCTGCTTGAGTTCTGCTCCCAGTCACAAGCCATACCAAACAAGTGTTAAGAACCTTTGTATATCTGCTCTTATTCTTCTTTAGTACTTCTCGTATCATACACTGAATTTACATATTAAATATGTTGTTATCCTTGTTTATCATGCACTTCCCACAAATCCTATTAAGAAATCAGATGCCATTCCTTTCCTCTTCAATATTTCAGGGAAGTTAAAAACTGAGTTGGATCTCTCTCCACACTGAACAGGCACTATAATAGCATGCTTTTAAAGTCAAATTTTGATTGAAAGCAATTACAAGAGGTTATTTCTTCAAAGAAAATTCCCATTGCCCCTTCAGCCACCCTACCTGTAGGTATATACTGCTACCTACTTATAGGCATATACCTACAGGCAAACACACCAACTTTCATTGCACAGTTGCTATGACACTGAGCACAGCTGGTAAGATGCCAATGCCCAGCAGCTCAGAGCTGTCTGGCTCCAACCCAGCCTATACTCACAAATTCCACATCCTGTTGGAAGCACATTCGGTGGATAATGACAACACCACACAGAACAGGAATTCCCAGGACTCAAAAATAAAACTTTTTGAATAGCATCAAAAACTGAAAGAGCAGCCACTTAGATCTGGGGGGGGGGGGGCTTAATATTTCCCACTTCAGACTAATTATTGTTTGAATGAGATGAAGATAATTACCTTCCTCATTTCCTGCTGCAACTGAGCCTGGAAATGGCTCTTAAGGCTGGCAGCCTCTTCCCGAAGTTCCTGCAGCCGGGGGTCTGGCCGATTCTTCTCATCTCGAAGAGCCTGCAGCTCACCTTTGAGCTCCTCCACCTCAAGAGTCAGCTGTTTCGTCTGCAGTTCAAACCCTTCCACCTGACCAGCAGCATATGCCCGCCCAGCCAGGGCTTCTCGGGTCTCTTCTAACCGAAGCTCCAAGTCTTGGCGCTGGGTTCTCTCCTCCTGCAGCAGTTTCTGGAGTTCACGCAGCATCAAGGCATGGTTACTCTGCTCTTGGGCCCGATCATGCTGCTGCGTGATAAGTCGGGCTTTGGTTTCTGCTATCTGCTCCTGCAGCTCCTTCAATTCTCCCTCCAGACGGTCCCTCTCCTCCTCTGCCTTTTTACTGGCATCCTCTAAGTCCTGTTTCATCTTCTTCTTGTCAGCCAGATAAGAAGCTTCCATGCGGGACTTCTCCTGGGTGACTGTGGCCAAAGAGCTGGTCAAAGTAGCCAACTGAGTCTTCAGCTGGTGCAATCGTTTGTCCACCTCCCCACCCATAGACTGTCCATCCCCACTGCTACTGCTAACACCACTCTCTGACCCACTAGCCTCTTCGGACTTTAGAGGTGGTGGTCCACGGGCCAGTCTGTCATCTTCTGCCCCAAACTCACCCTTGGTGCTAGTGAGACTGGCCGTGGTATCCAAGCTGGTGGCGGTCCCAGTGCTATCCTCGCTGTGAGTGGAGCATCGGTCATCCACAGAGTCAGGACAGGTGAGGCCTGGAGGCTGGACACCTGCGAGGCCCACATCCGCCTCGTGGGATACCGACAGCACCTTGATGCTGGCCTCTAGGGCCTCTTTCTCTTTCAGAAGGCTTTTATAGGCGCGGACCACATCCTTGAGACGTGCCTGGTATTGGATGAGCTGCTTCTTCTGGCTCTCAATGGTCTCCAGCAGGTCCTTCTTGCTCGGGCCGCCCCCGAAATTCATCCCAAACTTCTCCATGAGGATTCAGAACCGGCTCATCCACGTCAGTGTCAGGCAGCCTGGTTGAGGGTCGCGAAGACGCTGGCGGACGTTGTTGTCCTCAAGGCCGCACATCCGCTCCTCCCAGCTGTCAGAGACCGGCGGGGTGGCGGGGCAGCGCGGCAGAGCGCCCCAGGTCCCGGGCGCCGAGGGCGGGGGCGGGTCCTAGCCTAGAAGCGGGGCGACGCCAGCACGAGAGGCGCACACTTCCAGGCCTCGCCCGCACGGTCCTAGAAGCCGCTCCACGCTCGCCCGGGCCTCAGCAGCCACGGCCGGCCCTCAGCCCACGCTCCGCCAAGGGTTTAAGCTCAGCGCAGCCCCATCGCGACTTCCTAACTCCAGAGCCCATGAAGGGCGCTTCCGGGTCCACTGGAAGTGACGACAGCACGACACGACAGGCTCCGCCCCTTGTGGGCACGGAGAGGGTGGGGCTACGTCAGCCCTTGAGTGGGAGGCCACGTGTGGAGAATTTAGCAGGGCTGCCAAGTCGACCACTCTCGGAAAGAACAGAGCAAGCACAAGTTGTGGACACAGTAGTGATGTTGGTTTCGTGAGGTTCGCCTGAGCTTGCCCCCAGGCTACGATCAGCAAGGGACCGGACGACGTCACACTGAGTCCTTACCAAACATTCCGCTGAACGACGCGTCCCCACTATTTTAGGATTCACCTTTGTCCCTAAAGAACAACAATTAAGACTCATTTAGACCACGAAAACCGCAGCCCTTTCTAGGGTAGTGTTTGGCACCTAGTAGGCGTATAGTATAATAATTATTAGCTCCCTTTCTGAATCTGCTGAGTTGATTCAACAAGTGTTTGTAGAAGGCACACTATTGCCAAAACGTGTGTCCCAAGTGCCAACTATATTCCAGGAGCTTCACAAGAGTTTTCCTATGTAGTCTTTACAGTAATTCTGCTCAGTGGGTATTGTGTCACAATATGAAACATGAAGCACAGAGAGGTTAAGTAACATTCCCAATGTTACACAGTAAGTTTAGGAATCCTATGCAGATCAATCCCTCTCTCAACATACCAAATGCTATGCCAGATAATCACCATGAAGAGACAAAGTCCTGCCTTCAAGGAGCTCACGTGAGCTCCTTGCAAATACAAGTCCTCCTATAAGTATATTTAAAGTGAAATGAATGTTTTGAGAGAGGCCTATCTAGGGGAGGCAGAGAACACTCTCAAAGGGAAATACTTTGGAATTTAAAGGATGAGTAGTGATTGCCCATCTAACTAGAGATCAGGGAAACAAGCATTTCAGGCAGAGGGAAAAGATTGCAAGGATTCCTACGGCATCAAGGAGGCTGGCTCACCTGGAAAGCATTGAGAGTCATCTCAAGGCAGTAGTTTAGGGTATGTGAAGGAGGTGGTAACATATGGGGCTGGCATAGTATATGGGGACCCAGATAAAGGCATCTAGATTTTGTCCTGGGTGATAGGAAGACACTAAATTTTCATCACAAGAGTGTCATCATCAAAACTTGTACGGCTGGGTGGGAATACCAAGGGACTGGACACCTGTAAGGAGGCTAACTCAATCATGGGAAGAGATGGTAGTGAAATAGGGCAGTGACAACAGGGATGAAAAGAAAGAGGTTAATAAAAGGTAAAGATGTAGAACTGACTTGACTTGTTTGCCATTAGTTGTGTTATCATACTGGGACTCTTTTAAATGTACTCTTTGGCCTTGTAAAAGCCTTCTTAGGAATGCAAGCCTATATCTGAGGGGCAAGGTCAGGCCCTTGTACCTGGTGCCCAAAGTCTGCCTTCTTTACAGGCTTTGCAGGTGGGGTTGGGGCAGGCCCTGGAGGTCTGTTCAGACCCAGTTTCTTAGAGCACCAGGTAACATCAGCTGCATTATATGAAACATTCAGATACACTGTCTCATCATTTTAATCTTCATCATAACCTCATGAGATAAGGCAGATGTCTCCACTTGCAGTTAAGAAAATGACAGGTTGAACAATATATCAAAAAATGTCTTCGGGTGAGGAGTTAAAAAAAAGTTAAAAAAATAAAATGACAGGTTGTGAGGTTTGTTGACGGCAAGGCCTCAAAAAAGTCAAAACGGAGACATGAACTGAGACCTGGAACAAAGGCACATAGTGGGCATTCAGTATTTGTTGAATAAGTGAATGAAGGTTCTCTAATTCCCAGCTCACCTCCAGCCTATAAGCATTTGCTCCTAGAAGCCTACTGGGATCCAGAATAGGCAAAATGCCTGCCCTTGTGCCACTGAGCAACCTATAGGTCCAGTTCAACCCAACAAGCATTTAAGCATAAGACTAGCATTGACTCGGTTTCTGCCACATACGGTATTTAAATTAATTCCTATCTTGATACATCCCCTCAGATGCCAAGATGAATGGGAAATTACTGGTGCAGTTTTTGGGTCTAAAGAGGAATGATCCTCAAAGAGGAAAGATCCTCCCAACATCCTGGATAGGTGTGCATTAACAATCCAGGCTCCTAGGTCTGTGACAAAGTGAGGAAGGAGTTTTGGAAAGGCTGCCTGGATCCAGACTGAAAGACATTTTGCTTCTAGGCCGGTCGAGGCGAAGGCCGATGCAGAAGGGTCTACGACCGCGCCGCCCAAAGCTGGGACTCTTCCACCCGTTCTGCTGTTTCGGGATCTACGTAGCAGGCGTTTTAGGGAACCGTGAAAGCTAGTTAACTCTCGGGCATCTTCTTCCCCCCACCTCCGTTACACTTCTCTCACGATTCTGTGGTCCCTGAACCAGCCACTACGCTCAAAGCCCCTCGCTGGGAGGGAGGACTAGGATATCAGCGCCGAGCTTCCGCGCCCCTGAGAGGGTAGATCACACAGTCGAGGCTGCTAGTTTCCAAGAGCTAAACCGGAGCCCAGAGTGGGCGGGACGCAATGGGGCCGCTCTGGAGCATTGACGGCTTCCCTCGGCTCCGCTCGGGCTGCCGGTTCAGCGGCCCCAGATGTGACAGACGCGCTAGAAACAGGGGGAAACCCTGACCCTTCCCTCTTGAAAGCTGGCGAAGGACCCAATCAGATTGCGGAGACTCGCTCAGCCTCAGTTTCTCCTAGAGCCGGAGCCTTGGGGCGGGGCCGGGGGCGGGGCCCGGCCGGGGGCGGGGCCGCAGTGACGTAGGGCGGGCCGGGACGCGCGGAGGCGGTGGCGGCACCTCCTCCTCCAGCTGCTGAGCCCCATCCCCCCGCGGCCGGCCGGTTCCAGCCTGCGCCCCGTGTCCGTGCCGGTGCCCCCTCCCCCGGGCCCCGCCATGGGCCTCACCGTTTCCGCGCTCTTTTCGCGGATCTTCGGGAAGAAGCAGATGCGGATCCTCATGGGTGAGGCATATCAAGCGCGCGGCCCGGACCCGAGCGCCGGCCCCCGCGCAGCCCTGCCGCCCCCGCGCCCCTGCGCCCCTGCAGCCCAGCTCTCCTGATCTCAGACTCTGAGTCACCCACCTCCTAACCCCCTGTGGCCACTGGTGTTGGGCGGGTCGCGGTCTGCAGCACCGATCCCAGGGCCTGAGACTGGGAGCTGCGGGCCTGGGTGGGGTGAAGCTCCCTCTGCCCCAGCGTGGTTAAGAAGGGAGGCTTACGCCCTTGGAAACGACTTTTAAAAGGAGCGCGGTCCTCCTCCTGTGACCTTACACCCCCCAGCCCTCTCCCGCTTCGGGTTCAGGAGTTGGCGCTCACCACCCAGACTGCCCTCAAGGCCCGAAAGGTAGACAACAGCGCGCACCTGAGAGCGCTCGGGCTCTCGGCCCCTGTCGCCATCACCTGTCCTGGCCTCTCCCCTTCCCCGGTCTCTAGGGGGCTCCCTTGCTCCCATCTCTATCGCCATGTCCCTCTCCTTTGCAGTTGGCTTGGATGCAGCTGGCAAGACCACAATCCTGTACAAACTGAAGTTGGGAGAGATTGTCACCACCATTCCCACCATAGGTGAGTCTGGTGGCAAGATTGGGAGGCGTGGGAGCGCAGCGGCTGACCTCCTCAGGATCTGCTCCCCATTCTGCATCCCGGTGCTGGGAGCTGACACCAGATACCGCTACATGAGAAGTGGGTCACAGTATCTGTACATGCTGGATGGTGCCCAGGAGAGCTGGATGTGACCTAGCCCCGCCCCGTCTGTGGACTGCCGGTCCTCAGGGCTTCTATTCCCTTGGGCCTTAATCATTGCCTTCTGGTTTTGTGTCCCTGCTGAATTAATGTAGTTTTACTAAGTTCCTTTCTTTCAGGACTTTTTTCTCATATTTTTTCCAATTATCTGCAGGCTTCAATGTGGAAACAGTGGAATACAAGAACATCTGTTTTACAGTCTGGGACGTGGGAGGCCAGGACAAGATTAGGCCTCTGTGGAGGCACTACTTTCAGAACACTCAGGTGAGGGTGGGAGTGTCTTCCCAACCCCAGGGGAGGTGGTGTTAGGGCTAGAAAGACTGAGATGTTGGCCTAGGCTGGGCCCTGGGGCCAGGAAAAGCCTTACTCCCTTCAATCCCCCTTTTGTAAGCTAGCCTCTCCTCAGTCTTCAGTACTGGCCTTAGTCTTCTGAGACTCAGCCACATTAGTTCTGAGAAGCAGGGTTCTGGGTCCAGGGTCCAGGCTGCCTGATTTAGCTCTCATCACATGTCTTTCCCTGTTCCTATGCATGTCTTTTTAGCTAGACTGCTTGCCTGAGGGCAGAAGCTGTATCCTTTGTAGGGTGTCTCCACTTGGTGCTAGGACATCTGCAGAACCTTAGTAGAAGTTTTTAGACATAATTAAAGAGAGCAAGAGCCAGACTAGAGTATGTGTTAGGTAGGAATGATTGCTCCTCCTTCCTTTCTGCCTTCCCACACAGGGCCTCATCTTTGTGGTAGACAGTAATGACCGAGAGCGGGTCCAGGAATCTGCTGATGAACTCCAGAAGATGGTGAGCACCCAGGGTCCTGGAAACTGAGCCCTTGGTTTGGAGACAAAGATATCTGTCCTGGTATGAAAGTCAGGAAATGCATGACTGGCCTTGAATGTGTGTTTCTCTTTGTGGACACAGACACAAGGAGACTCTCACCCTGTTTTGAATTTGGGTCTGGTAACAAGTATAGGACATGTATTTTCATGTCTTCACATCTGAGTGAGAAGTATGTGGTGTAGAGAAACATCATTTTACGTTCTTGTTTTTCCATTTGGAAATTTTGTCATTTTGATTAGGACAATCAAATTAGGAAAAAAGCCCTTTCTGGACTTAAAACCAAGATGACCTCCAGTGGTATATAACTCTGTGTCTTGTGTTCAGCAGTAGACTACACAATATTATGTTTTTTTTCCACAAATATTCTAGAAGGTAGAAAGAGGAGCTTCTCTACACAGCAGTGAAGAGGGAGCCTGGGGATCCCGAAGGACCCCAAATTTCACCCCCTTGGCCTCTCTCAGCTGCAGGAGGACGAGCTGCGGGATGCGGTGCTGCTGGTCTTTGCCAACAAACAGGACATGCCCAACGCTATGCCCGTGAGTGAACTGACTGACAAGCTGGGCCTGCAGCATTTACGCAGTTGCACGGTGAGGGTCCTGCCTCTCCCAAGGGAACCACAGGCTGGGCAGGAAGTAAAGGCATCCCCTTTTTCTTCCCTGCTACTAATCTCTTTCTTTCCTCCTCCCCACAGTGGTACGTCCAGGCCACCTGTGCCACCCAAGGTACAGGCCTATACGATGGGCTGGACTGGCTGTCCCATGAGCTGTCGAAGCGCTAACCGACCAGGGGCCGGCTCTTGCTGCCCAGAAGCTCCCGCGTGCATCCCCAGGATGACAGGACTCCTGGACTCCTCAGGCAGTGCCCTGCCCTTCTGTCCCTCCTCCCACAGACAACAGGCCTCTGCTCCTGCCTCTCCTGCCTGCATGTTCTCTCTGTTGTTGGAGTCTGGAGCCTTGCTCTCTGGGCACGGAGGGGTCCACTCTCCTGCCTGCTGGGACCTGTGGAAAGGGCTTCCAGGCTGAGGCCCCTTCATCCAGAGGAGGAGCAGGGACCTGGGTTTATTTTGTTTTTTCCATTTTGGGCATACCCTTGGGGCCAGGTGGGGGGGAAGGTGAGGACTCCGAGTGGTGCTATAATAAGGCACTGGATATCGAGTAATAAATTTGCTGTGGTTTGTACATGGTGTTGTCTGTAGCCTAGAAGTGGGGGCTGGGTTAATGGATGCAGAGAGACAATATGGGGGAGGCTCAAAGCAGCTAAGGCTGCAGGGCCAACCCCCTCTCCCCAAGCACACACACAGACATTGCTGTCTTCATCTAGCTCAGCTTCTCCCTCCGTATTCTTGAGGATGGAAGTATTGTAGGAGGTCCAGTGGAGGAAATCCTATTTCTTCCCCAATTCCAAGGGGCCTTTGCTGAGAGTAACAGGATCTACCTTCATGCTTCTGTAAACCACATAACTCTCCTATCCTATCCATCTCCTAGCTAGCTGTGGTTCTTAATGATTACCATGAACATTAAGATTTGAGAGGGAAGGAACTTTAGTTAAAAATAAGGGTCCTGAGGTACAGTGGAGAAAATGATACTTCAGGACTGGTCCAAGGCCCAAGAATATGCATCTTTAAAATCACCCAACTAATTCTGTGATCTATTAGCCTTATTTTATAAAACATTGATAGGGCCTTGAGGATTACAGTTCCACACTGTGCACCACTGAGATTCTACCTGGTGAGACACCCCCCACCAATGGGGAATAGGCACCAGGGCTGTGTACTATTCTCCAAGTATGGTTCACTCTGCCCCTTTCCCTTTACCTCCCAGCAAAGCTTAAACAAAACTCACCATCACCACTATATTTTTTTTAAATTTATTTTTTTGCCATTCTTTCTTCTTTCATGTCAGTTTCTCCAGGTTGTGGGCTGGTTTTCTCCATGAGCTTTGTAGGAAGTGAGTCCCGGAGGCTCGTGGCTGACAGAGACTGGGGTCTGGGCTGGTGTTCTCAGAGGCCAGCGCTGGCTGTCTGCGTAGCAGCAGTGCTGCTGGGGATTCTGATGGATGCCCGGGACTCCCCTCCGAGGCCATTTTCTTCACCCCGGTCCTGAGCCAGCCCTTCCCGATTAATATGAGTCATTTAATCTTTGCTGGTTATATGTTTAGGGTGTCCTCATCTTCCCTGAAAAGTGCCTTCTGAGGCATTTTGGCCTCATCCTCCCAAGAGTCATAAAAGTGAATAAATTTTTCTTGGGTATTATGAATTCCAAAATCACTTAAGCCCCAAGGGAGCCAGGTAGAACTCACTCCCTGGGAGAAAAGGGGTTGAGTTTTCTCCTGCAATTAAAAAGAGAAACGAAGTAAAGAAGGGGAGGGACTTAACTCCGCCCACACTGGTGCCTGAGTGGTGAGGAGGCTAATGCCAGAAGCCCAGACCCACGTCCTCCATGTCATGGATTGGTGCAGAGCCTGTGTCCTTTCCCACTGTGGTGGGTTGAGGGGCAGCTCTCAGTCACAATGCTCCCGGGTCACAGAGGTGCTGGGCCCTAGTCAGCCTCTGCCTGGAAATTTTCCTCTGGGAACGTCTTCCAGTGGGTACTTTGGGCCTGATTCCAGGCCCTATGGCCTATGGAACCGCACCACTGGGAGGAAGGCTGGGCCGGACAGAGTCATCACCTGTGGTGCCGGCCCCATGGATGAGGTGGAGTGGACGCCAAGACAACCCAAGCCGGAGGACCTAAGGGTTGGGCTCATCAGCTGGGCAGGGTCCTACCTCACATATGAGCCATATAATCATATGATCACTGCTGCTGCAAAGGGTTTGGGCCGGAGACAGGTAATAGAATAAACCTGTACTGAACCCATTTTTCCCAGTGACTAAGGTCTCCCATGGGGCGAGGAGGGGGGAGTGGGGAAGAGTGCTCTCTACCTAATCACTTTCCTGGACTCCACCGTTGCTAGGTCAAGACCCTTCTACCTCAGGCTCTTGCCTATGGGTCTTCCACTGCTCCATCTCCCCAATTCTAACCTATTCCAGGAGGTGAAGCCTCAGCCTTGGTCTGCTACTTTGTCTTGCTCTGGCTGTCTCCTGCCCTCCATTCTAGCACAGAGTGGCTGTGTCATCACAAAGGAGATGGGTGGAGATCCCAGCCTAGAAGGCAGAATTGTGAGCATCCAAAAGTTAAATCGGTGGATACTGCAAAGCTTATGCTTCTGTTCTGGCTGTATTTTGGGAATTGGGTACTCTAGAAGTCCTAGGAGAGTTGGTTCTCATTTTAGAGAGAGATGTAGGCCCCTCTGGGATGGTATTACATACAGAGTGAGGCAGTAGCGAGGTCCTCTCACTTACAACAGGGTTGATCACAGACAGCTAAGACAGTCACATCTCAACTGCCTGTGCTCCCAACCTCATCCCTGAGCCCGACCTGCCTAGAAGAGGTCTTACTTTTCTCCTGTCATGTTGGAGAGGTGCCCTTTGGGTATGAAAGTGTTGGCTGAGTGTGCTATCCAGGGGCAACAGTGAGGAAGAGAGAAGTAAGACTTAACCCAAAACATTTCTTTAAAAATTAGGTATTGAAGCCCAGCCGGTATGGTTCAGTGGTTGAGCGTTGACCCATGCACCAAGAGGTTGCCAGTTCGATTCCCGGTCAGGGCGCATGCCCAGGTTGTGGGCCCGATCCCCAGTGGGGGGCGTGCAGGAGGTGGCCAATCGATGTTCTCTCTCATTAATGTTTCTATCTCTCTCTCCCTTTCCCTTCCTCTTGCTCTAAAATTAATAAAGAAAAAAAATTTTTTAATTAGGTATTGAATAAAGTGGCCAAGGAAGAGAGGGAGGTTTACCTTCTGTTAACTGGAGGATGTGGCATTGAGAACTTCTCTTGGGATCCTGAGAACCCCTATTGCTCCAGTGCTAGAGGTTTTCTGAGATCTTTTGCTTACTGTTGGATTGAGAGAGTAGAGGAGCCAACAGAAAGGAGGGGAAGTTGGTTGGTCTCAATGAAGGTGCTGAGTGATGCCAAAGGTGATGGTTGTAGGACTCCTTGGTCTAGTTACTTCATGGTACTGATTTCCCTCTTCTCCCTCCCAATGCCTCCAGACCTGGGAGATCCTGGTCAGCAATGAGCATGAGACACAGGCTGTAGTACGACTAAGGAGCTTGCAGGGCCTCTACCTTCTGTGTGAGGCAGATGGCAATTTGTACTACGACCGGCCAAGGACCAGCCACCATGGAAGCTTCCTACTCCGTTTCCACCGCAATGGCAAGTGGACCCTCCAGTGCATAATCAGTGGTCGTTATCTGGAGTCTGATGGCCAGGATGTGTTCTGCAACTCCCGAGTCCTCTCAGCTTACCACATGTGGACCCCGCGGCCAGCCCTGCATGTCCACGTGATCCTCTATAGCCCCCTCAACCGCTGCTATGCCAGGGCTGACTCCACCGTGGGTCGTGTCTGGGTGGATGCACCAGTTCCCTGCCTGGGGGAATGTGGATTCCTATTGCATTTCCAAGATGGATGCTACCACCTAGAGACCTCTACACACTTCTTCTTGTCCCACCTAGACCGGCTGGCCTCCCAACCCTCATCACAGACAGCTTTTCACATGCAAGTGAGGCCTGGAGGGCTCGTGGCACTGAGTGATGGAGAAGGGGGCATGTTGTATGCACAGGGTCCACGTCTGCTTCTGGCCCTGGGATCCAATCCCCATAGGGGCGAGGAGTGGTTCATCCTACAGCGTTGCCCCGCCTGGGTCAGCCTCAGGTCAAAGACTCGGAAGTTCCTCTCTGTCATCTATGGCAAGTGCTGGGTCCAATGCAGCCATGGAGGGAGGGAGAGCTAGCTTCTGAAAAGAGGAAAATATGTTTGGGATCAGCGAGGATTTTTAAACCTGCTCATAAGGAAGATCTATTGGTCCCAAGGGCATCTCTGTGCAAAGGAAAAGGGTGATAAAGCAGGGGTATGGGCTTTAGGGGAACGTGGCCTGGGTCTTCTCCAGGCTACTAGGGTCCAACAGAAGAAGATGAAGGCCAAGGAAGGAAAGCATAGGGAATCCAGTCATAAAGTGTGGAGGAGGGGCTGAGACTGAGGATGAGACCAGACTCAGGCTTATAATGACTGTTCTTCCTCTGCAGATGTTGAGATATATGCTGCCTCTGAGCACTTAACCCCAATGTCATTGTTCCAGTTTGAGAGTGAGAATGGCAGCCCAATTTTGCAGCTTCGTTCAGCCAATGGTTTCTACCTAGCCCAGGTAAGTCCTTGGCTTTCTGAGCAAGACCACCTTTAAGCCCTGAGTTTCTCTCTCTCTAGGCACACTTTCTCCTTCTTCAGGGCAAGTGAACCATGAAGGCCCTTGTCAATAAATATTCATTTTCATCCAATAGGGTCTCTTTTTAAAAAAAATCAACTTTTTGAAGCATAACACATACAATAAAATACACCCATTTTAAGTGTGTAATTCAATACATTTTGACAAATGTATACATGTATGCAACCATGCCACAACCACTTAGCAAATTAGAGACTATTTTCACCACCACAGAATTTCTCTCTTGCCACTTTCCAGTCAGTTCCACTACCACTACCCACTACCCACTACCACTGATATGTATTCTGTCACTGTGGATTACATTTAGATTTCCCTACTTCAGAATTTCATATCAATTGAGTCATATGGTATTACAGTATATATGCTTCTTTCACTCAGCTCAATGTATTTGAATTTATCTACGATGTTGCATGTATCATTTCAAAATACCACTCAAAACACAAACATAATCTGTTTATCCATTCACTTGTTGATTACTTGAGTTGTTCCAGCTTGGGCTATTGTGAATAAAGTTGCTATAAACATTCATGTATGAGTCTTTTTATGGGCCTATGTTTTCAATTATCTTGGGAAAATATCTAGTATTGCAACTACTGATAAATATGTGCTTAACTTTTTAAGAAAATGTCAAGTAGATTTCTAAAGTGACTACACCATTTTACATTCTCACCAGCCATGTATAAGAATTCTAATTGCGCCCTGGCCGGTTTGGCTCAGCGGTTAGAGCGTTGGCCTGCAGTCCTGAGAGACCCGGGTTCGGTTCCCGCTAAGGGCGCGTACCTCGGTTGCAGTTTGTCCCTGGCCCTGGTCGGTTGTGCGGGAGGCAGCCACTCGATGTGTCCCTTTCACATCGATGTTTCTC